TACAAAATTCAAAACAAAAAGTCATTTTCCGTAAAATACTTCAATCTTTGACCTTGAATATCTTTTAAATGGTTAGATTAATGAAAGGAGTATAAGAGACCATTTTTGTAGAGCGTTCAATTTCCTATAAATATTGACGATGCAACTGGTTTAACGATCTATTGGTGATAAGATATGACCATTTTTTTATGAGACTGAATTGAAAATGAAAAACTATGATGAGCATAATTTTCCCGTTAATATTAAGAGCTCAGATTTGGTAAGTACTTTCTAGAGGTACCTAGGAACTAGTTTTCGTGTGTCGGATCCAAAAAAAAAAAATACTTGATTTTTTTGACCCACCTTACTCGTCACAATTGCTTTGTACGTGGAGCACGCATTTTGGGCATTTTAAGATGACGCGTTTACCTTTCGGTGTGAAGCCTGCAGCAGCAATTTTCCAGAAAACGATAGAAAATGTTTTGAGAGGAATCCCGACATAGTCGTAATTGCAGCTGATTTTCCCAATCATATAAAAACTATTGGAACAGTTTTACATAAAATAGAGGTAGTTGGATTTCGTTTGAATGCTAGCAAGTGTGATTTTTTTAAAGAAATTTTCTCGTGTTTGGGGTTTACTATTGATAGAAATGGGCTAAGCAAGAATAAAGATAGGGTTGCTGCAGTTTTCAATGCACCTGTACCACAAAATTTGATTGAGTTGAGAGCATACATAGTTATGCTGAACTATTACTCGAAGTTTATCTAAAATTTCGCATATAAAATGGAGCCTTTATATTGATTACTACAAAAAAAAATGCAAGCTTTGTTAAAACAAGATGTAACTTATGATAATGTATTAACGCATTTTGATCCTTGTTTTCCAATTGTTCTATGAAGCTTCTTATGTGTCAGTGGGAGGCATTTTGTCTCACTCTCTGTCAAATGGCTTGCAGAAACCAATAGCGTTTGTATCACGGGCACTTACAAAACTGGAGTTAAATTATAGTACAATTCATAAAGAAGCGTTGGCTATTGTATTATTCGTCGTTAAACCTTGGCACTATCTGCTGGGTAACCGCTTCACCTGGCAAACGGATCACAAGCCACTTCTGGCTATATCGGGTGAGCACAAAGCACTTTCAGTTATGGCGGCAGCGCGAATGCAGCGCTGGGCGGTTCTTCTGTCTGGTTTTGACTATACTATTATTTACATAAAGGGAACGTCAAATTCAGCGATGAAAAAGATTTTAATTATGTCCATTTTATTGAAAGTGATAATCAGCTTATTTTAAATGATGCTGTTCATAAAGGGGTGTTAGTTTAATTAGCAGGAGACGAGTTTAGCGTGTTTCGTAATACAAAGAATAAACTATCTGCTGAGTACGATTGTCTATTGTGGGGCTACTGAGTAGTTATTCCAACTAAACTTAGGGGCAGGGTGTTAAAAGAGCTGCACTGCTCGCACTTTGGAATTGGTAAAAGTAGTTTTGGCGAGATCATTTGATTGGTGACCGAATTTGGATGGCAGCGTAGAACAGTTTATATCGAACTGCGATCCTTGCAAATATGCGCAGCCCAGCCCAGAAAAGTGCGCCCTTATCCCCTGGAGACCCAAGGAAGCAGCTTGGTCTAAAACTCATGTGGATTTTGCTGGTCCTGCA